GGTAAAAAGGCAAATTAACAACTACGACTGCATGGTCTGAAGATGACATTTACCTGGAGGTGAGGTCTCCCAGCATGCTACAGAAGAAAACAAGGAGAAAAACAGAAGCACCGTTTAGTTCCTTTCCATTCCAGTGCTCTACCAAATGCTGGTTTATTGGTGGACAATTGAAATCACCTTTCTCACATACTCTTCTCTATTTGCCACAAAGCATAACATCCAAATAAACTTGTTTTTAAAATAGGTAATTTACATTTTTCATGTCCTTTCCATGGAGAAAGAGTCTAAGCTTTTGAACTCCTGACCAAGTGTTAGGCACAGCTCCTCTTCTGAGAGCCAAAGGACATGTGCAGAGGACCACAGAAGGCAGCAGTCATTTTATCACACTTTAGGCAAATTTATACTAGAAAGAAGGATAGATGAACAGAATACAAATGTAAGCCGTGACTATCACCAGCGTTACCCATGTCCTCTTGCACCGTATGCTGCGAACTAGCTCATGTTGATAACATCAGCTTCATCCAGAAAGCCAGCTTAGTAGAGAACCTGAGCTACAGTATTTGTGACTCTCAGGCAGATGTCTCTACCTTCTGCTCTGGGAGAACAGGAATGCCAGCAGAAAGGCTCACACAAAGTTTCACTTCATTTTTCACAAAATGAGTTACGGCTTTGAAACAAAAAAATTGCAACGCAAACCGGAGGATCATACTTCAGCTGTAAAGTCATATGGTATCTAAGAAGGCCATCCAACCACTCGGGCTCACGACAAGTTCTTTGGATAGGCCAAGACTGATTTCCAGGCAGTTTATGCTTTAGAGAGAGCCTGATGTCCTACAAGATATGCCCTTTCTCTTAAGGTGGACTGTCCTGCCCTCTCCCCACTCAATCAAGTACACACACTCCTCTCTTAACTCTACGCAGATGTAGCAAAAAAGCTGTTATTCTTACCCCGGAACAGTGAGCTTCACTTTGACCTTGTAGGAAACCAGAATCCCCATCACCGTCTTGTCTATTCCATCCTTAATACTACCAGAGAAAACAGACAGCAGTGTTAGGCCACGTAGCGACAGAGCAACAATATGTGGCTGAAGCAAGAACTAGGTGAACATCCTATTCTTATAAAAGTGATAAAGCAGACAAGCTTCAGAGACAGCTTAATACTTATCCAGACCCGTGATCACTATTTACCCTGAATGAAAATGATAGGCAAAGTCATGCGACTTAGATCTACCCATCTAGGCACACATTTACAGATACAAACTCCTGATATAAGTGCTTCCTCCATCCTCCCCTCTTCTTTACAAGCCTTCACTAGCTAAGACCATTCAAAACTCTACTCACATAGTACTAGAAGCCAAGTTGGTGTCCTCATCTTTTAGCTTTCCATCCAGAGCTATTTCCTGGGTGTCCCGGTTATTTGCTAGCAAGGGCAAAAGTGTCAGTGTCTTGGTCAGGCTACTGTTTGGCTGCACCTTTTCCCTGAAAATAAGCAGCAGGTGAGAGAAAGAAAGTGATACACTCTCCGATCTGCATTACACACCCAACCAAGAGAGTTCAAAACAGATTATAAAGCCATCCAAAAGATGTGGAATTTCTCTGTCCAAATTGAGCTGTCTGTCTACAGTGCAGATGTCTACCTCTAAACCAGTCAGAAAAATTCCTTTTATAATCAGCAGAGGAACAAGCACTTCCAGAAAATTATTTCACATAAAATTATTTCACATTATTTCACATTAAGGCAGACTTCTAAAGTAGGTCAGACTATGATGCAGACCTCTAAATTTGGATAAAATAAATCCTAGTTTGGAAGAACAGAACTCAATGGAAAACATGTCCCTAAGCTACAGAGCAAAAAAAAAAAAAAACCCAGAAAAATACAAGATGTCTGGGTGTGTCCAACCCTCCTCACAAAGCATAGTTCAATGCTGCACTGGCAATGCAGTGCAATGCAAGAGACAGTGGTTCTTCATACTGTCAATAGGCTTGAGGTTTTTCTGGGCTTTCCAAAGCCAGAAGAAACCAAATGAAATGGTGTGAGAAAGACTGACCTCAAGCTAGAGCACCCATGACTTCCACTAAACAGGAGCACCTTTCAGAAAAATGTTGCACCTCTATTTAAAGATTTCAAGCAATAGGGAGCCTTCCACAGCCTCTGCTAAGTTTTTCTAGTAGGTAATTACTCTTCAAACAAAACCCCTCTTCTGCAACCTCCCCCTGTTCTCTGAAAAAAGGTGTAGAGTACCTGCTGGCTATGTAAAAAGGAGACCAGCTGCATCCTGAGAGTACACGTGGTGTGAGACACACACACATGAGGTGAGAGGAGAAGAGAGCGCATTGTAACAGCAAAACTATAGCTAGGAGTACCCCCATTAAAAGGGTGTGAAGGAGCAATAAGGGATAAGCAGAGCATTCACTCACTGTGCTTCCTCAGCAGCTACCACTTTTGTATAGTAGTCACTGGAGTACAAAACCACATTGGTAACCTGCTCCACTGAGTGAGAAAAGAGAAAGCGGACCATCAGTTGTGCATACTCATCAGAAACATAGCTGTGCTCCCCCTCAGCCCGAGTCTCAGGAATGGAAGACATGATGAGGACAGCAGGAAAACTCATCCATTTAGAGCCTGAAGGGACTAGCAGGTCAGACAGCCTGACCTGGGTAGAGACCAACAGCACACAAATGGCCAAAGTCTATCTTCCCTGAGAGGCATCCAGTCTTGATTTGGGTATGACAAAAAGTCAGTAACCCACAGTTTCCCTTGGGAGCCTGCTCTTCCCATTATAAAGATCTCCCTCTTTCTTCTCTCTGTCCGTTTTTATCTCTGGTCACTGATATCCCTTGCATATCTATAACCAATGCATTTGAATTCAGGATACACCATCATCAAGCAGACTGGATACAGTCAAGAGCCTGTGATAATAAGTAACTTCTATTCTCTATATCTGTATCTTCTATATCAAACACCCAAAAAAACCCCCATAAGGTAATTCTGACTGAAACACTGATAAGGAGACACCCTGGGGGCCAACAAGGTCTTTTTAAGCCTGACAGAGGCATGTCAGCCTAAAAATATTTGGGAATCGTTAGACAGTGCATCCAAGACTGGCACTGAATTGACCTTCTCTAATACTAGATTTTTGTTAAAACCTCAGCAACTTCATTCCCTCCTTGCCTTCTCTGCTCTCATCCTTTGTCTCTCAGTCAGTCTTCTACAGGTCCAAGTGCAATGGGGCTTGTAGGATGAAAACATGAAGTGCCACAAACAGAACGTAGGCACAGTACTGAAACTCCTCCAAAACTCAGCCCCTGCCCTCAGCTTCCTCAAGAGGAATTACACCATCGCTTGCAGAGCAGCTGTTTCTCACATTGCCAGATATTTCTGAAACCCCAAACAAAATGGTATGCAACCTAGGCACATTCACCATAAGCAGGAGCATCACATTGACAGGGGAGCCTTTCCCACTGGCCTGCCAAGAGGTGGCTTTTCCCCCACAGCACCTGCCTTGCCTGCAGACCCTTTCTCTTTACACTAAAGGGGACATACTGGCCTGAAATTAAGCCATACGAGTAACTATGAGAGTCAGAGAAAAAGCTGCAGTGTTTCACATGATGAACAGCAAGGAAACAGCGACAGACAGGGTAGAGGGACAAATCCCGACTTGTCCCAGACTGCCTTTAAGCAAGCCCTAAATTGTGGCACTCTTTCAGTCCTCTCACCATTCAGTCCTCTTGCCCTCAAAGAATCCCAAGCAAGAGTAAAAACATACCCTGGACTTTGATCTTCTTCACTGTTTTCTCTGTGCTGTTGTTGACGGTGACAGTGACTGGAATGGGCTCGCCATGGTAGTACACCTAGAAGGAATTTGATGCTCAGAAATCCAGTCAGGAGGCTTACTCTTGGGCCCTAAGCCCCTTTAGTCTCCCCCCCCAGATTAAATCTCCTCACAGAGGCCAGATAAGGCAAGACGACCCTTCCCAATCATTCATGACCCTTCCTTCAGTGACTTATTTAGCCTCAGACACATCTAGTAGTGGGGTCTCAGCCTCCTCTGGCAGTAGCTACTGACAGTGCTGGGCCAAGTCAGTCTCAGCTGAGACCATCTGAATAACACGCAAAGTAGCTGCTTTGGGCAGCCCCGGGCAAACTCCTCACCTCTTTACTGAGGCAAGCTTTCAAGTGTAATGGCTTGTTGGACATGAAGAACTGCCAGGAGGTCTCCGCACAAGGTTGGGGTCCTGGCTTTTCTGGAGCATATTGCACCTTACGGATCAGCAGACGTGCAGAGTTCCTGGGAAGCAGCAGAGGGCAACATGGTGGTACTTTGTGCTCAGCAGAGGCAGGAGTTCTGCATTCACATGTACTTATACCCACAAGTCCACTGACAAGTGGGTCAAAGCTGAACAATCAACCAAGGTGCATTACTGAACCACCCACTCCCTTTAAGAAGAGCATAGCTGAAGACAGACACACACGTTCTATTACCTCTTATGAATTCTCTCTTCCAGATTCTCTGTTGAAAAAGCTTTCACCTCAAAGTCCACCCCACAGCTCTGCCAGAGAGAAAGGACAGCTGTGAAACCAGTGTCAGAAGCCAAGAACGTCTGCAGATGTTTAAATATCTTTCTGTACACCAGAAACTGGCAGATTCCTGCCAGCTGCAAATTCTTCTGGCCTCCTACCATTGTAACAGAGATCCTTGCCAACTGGTATGGTGATATCCACCTGTTCCATGCTGCTTCTGACAAGTGAAGCTTAATTCTCAGCCCTTGTCAGATGACATCCCTACTCCTAAAAGGCTTTCTGCGAGAGCAGTGCTGTAGAGGTCACAGCATGCTACAGGATATAAGACTGATCAGCTTTGTCAGAGTAGCCTTGTAGAGCAGCTGCTCCAGTCTGCCTTGGGTTTCAGAGACGAATTTCTGTATTGGCTTTGTAGTGCCAACAGCTGACTCGGGGTCAACCTTCTTTCTTCCCAATGTCTCAGGGCTGATCAGGCCAAGCTGACCTTCACTTTAATGGGTTTATACTGCCATGGGACATCTGTGTGAGCCCCAGATAATTCTCTATTGGGAGTTTTTGCTGGAATATCATTCTTTGGCCAAAAAAACCACAGCTTGTCCTTGTAGCACTAGATTCTACAACTTGCATACCATCTTGCCCAGCTGTTAGTCTAGCTCAGCTGTTCACAGAAGTGTTGAGTGAAACATAAAAGGAATATTTTAAATGGTGTCAGAAACCCAGCAGAACATCTCATTATCTGGTGACTTTTACTCCAGAGTTTTCGTTTTATTTACACACATGTGCAAGCCAGCCCTTCTCTGCATTTGTTTTAATTCAGAAGCAGGTCTTAACACATGTTATTTATAGCAACCTATGAGATTTCAGGCACTCAGTCTCCTTTCCTCTCATGTAGCCTGACAGCTACAATCATTTTATGTGCAGCCAACCCACAAATCATGTGGTACCCTTAAGGAAACTACAAGGATTGCAGTTTTTAGTACTCTTGCTGCTATTTGACTAGATTCCCTTTCTTATTCCAAGGACTTAAATTCCAATTCTGTGACACAGTTGTAGCTCTTATGTCAGGTTCCTGACACTTCTGGCATAGCACAGTAAACCCCAGTGTTACCTTATTCTACTCTCAAGCTAGCCAGATAAATTCACATGACTTTTTCCACGTGACTTTCCTCAACCATGATAAGCAGAAGTGTCCTTTTGGTCTCACCTTATCAACATCACGAGGTGCTGGCTGCAGACAGACCGAACAAGGCAGGTAATCTGGAAACTGGGAAGAGAAAAATACCCCAAAGCAATATTACAAAGACTTCCAACTCTGCAATACTTTAACATATTGCTCATAAAAGGTACAAAGCAATCCTGAACACAATAGGTCACTCACTGTAATGTAGTAATCCTTTGAAGTTCTGGCTGAGATAGGGGCTTTAATATACTGGGCCTTATACTTGCCTTGTATGAACAAGTCCCTCTCTTCCAAAAATACTTTAATAGCCAAGGCGGGGG